ACTTTAGCTATGTGGGTCCAGGCACAACAAGAAGGGAAAGAAAGCATCTACTGATCTATAACTGTACATAATTTACACCTGGCACGTGCGTTCCATACCAGATAACTCCTATACTACAGACTAATCATTATATCATTGTACCCCTACTCATTACTATTATACGGGGCCGTCACACTATCTTGGCTGTTCCAGCGCAAGTGTACATTCCCTAATCATAAACCAATCATAATAGGTTTCAGTGTGTGTCCATCAAGATTGTTGGGTGTCGCCTATCTAATACTAGTTACACCATCATCTTTTGTCACATCTGATAATTGAGGATGCAACAAGAATACACATAACTGGTATCAGATCTGTAGTTTGTTCTGTTGTATCCCGTAATCAGCTATACACTCTAGTCCATGTAATTGCCAGACATCAATGTATATAGACAGGTTCATATCCTTCATTAAAGATCAAGAGTTTCGATCAAGCCTTTACTTTAAACATAATTCATATCCACAGGTACCCTTTGAAGTTTATACTTTGTTATTTCTCCGTGTTCACTAGAAAGGCTCTGCATATTCATAGTTTATTTTCAACAAGAACAGTAGAGAGGAATATATGATGGGTAATTGGGGTGGCTCTGGTTCGGCAGATTATGGTCTTGTATTCTCAGGAACTCTTTAGAAATTATTCAATCTTATCTTTTGTTGACCTCTTGAACTGTCGAACTCTTGAACTACCGAAATTTTGGACTCTTGAGCCTTTGTAATGTGAACCCCTCTTGTACTCTTGACAACTAGCGCCTATTGCGCGTAGAGAACCGTATTTCAAATAGAGTGAAGGCGAAGATTTCACCATATCAAAACTCGAGAAAAACGGAATAAACTATCATGAATATAAAGCGGAGCATGGTGATACTCTAGGTCACTACAGTGAAGAATACAAGACAACACGAATCTGCGAGACAACAAAGCGAGGACGTAAGGTATCTCTTCCTCCAACATTGCCGGCACCAACTATTCTTCTTCGTAAATAGACAGCATATGTCACGGAACGTATAAAGGGAATATCAGGATTTAAATGTGTTGGTATAAATAATTGTATTGTGCAATAAGAAGAGTAAATTTATCTTTGTACATGGAAGTCTCTAAGTCCCAAGTTTGCTAAGCCATTCCTAGGACTTAGTCAACTGACACCATCCCCATAATTTAGACTTTTACGGAATATTGTTGGATAGTACCCCTGCTTGCAAAACTAGTCAACAAACTAGACATGGATCTTCATGAAGACCAAACCAATCAAGTCAATATGTACAGGGATCTAAATCCTGTCATTTTGACAATTGTACAATTGGCATCCACAAAAGACTGTAGAGCAGGAAGAGAAGTGGAGAGATTAACAAGTCCTGCAGGACTCCGCAGACTAGTTGTCGCTCCATTGTGACCCCTTCTGAGTGTTGTACTTGAACCATTTGTTGTGCAAGAAATGACGTTGTCCACTTTAAAACTGAGTCTGACCATCCTTGTTTTTGCAACCTTCTCAGCAGGCGGTTATTAAGAGCTGCATCAAACGCACTTTGTGCGTCTAAGGTGACAAAAGTAGCCGCCCTTCCATGCGCTACCCGCTGTTACAGCTTGAGTTTACAGATGATAGGTTTATGGTATCACGTGATATGGAGTCTGGTTGAGTAAGCATTGGTCCCGGAAGCGAGCTGGTTGAGTTTTCAACCCAAAGAGGCTGCAGACCTCTTTCTCTCCTTGTCTTTTCTTTTAGTTATTGTACGTAGCTTTAGGTCCAAATACAAAGCAATTACTCTTTTATATTTCGAGGAAGTCTTCTAGTGTCAACCTGAGGTCGGTCGTATTACCCGTCAGGGCTACCTTAGCTGAGCACAACATATATTATATATAGATATATGAATATCTCTAGATACCTATTGTTAGCTTCTTCCCCTAGTTTAGAATCTTATGAGCTATATTCCTGAATTGAGTGTTTACTTGATTCAACTTGGTCATCTTTAACCTGTGCTCCCCTCCGGTAGTCACAAAACGCAGCATCTCAGTATTAGCCTATGGCACAATGGTAGTAACAAGCAGGCCATTTTGCTCATGAGAAAGCCGGTCTGTGACAGATCTTGATGAGCATATGTCAAATTGGAGCGTAGGCGTATGACCTGAAGCGGAATAGAAGGGTAAGAAGAGATCGGATAGATCGCGAGGGATGACTAAAGATCTACTGGAGATAATTTGGAGAACTAAAGGTTTAAAAATGGGTAATATAAGTGTCTAAAGAGTCTAAAGGTACGAGCAAATACTAGTGGTGACTAAAGGTGCTAAAGGTAACTAGAGGTGACTATAGGTGACCAGAGGTGATCCGAAGGTGGTGATTGTGACAGAAGACTAAGCGTAAAGAACTCTATGCCTACAGATCAAACCATGGTATATATACCTGCCCTCCTCTCAAGGCGAGGTTAGTACAGTGTTCCATAGGGTGCGTTTGTGGTCTAACGAAGATCTAGAAGGTAGACGAAGGTGATGAGTGGGTCGAAGGGATGACTGGTCTTCTCTAGGAAGAGACAAATGGGTAGATAGTAGCAATAGAGGCTACACGTGGGTCTTGCCGATAAAGAGCTGGAAATAGATAAATGGTCTTCTCAAAGAAGAGATGGGTAGACAAATGTATTGTTAAGGTAATTGAAGAAGACATTGCGTGAAGAATAATGCTTCTTCATGCCAAGTATTTATATACATAAAATTACCAAATAGCACGTAGCACACAGCCCCTATGCCCAACAATCTGCTACACATCACCTAATGAAACTAGCCCATTCTTATCAGTCTTCCTTGCTGGTTTTAGAAGTGCATTGGACTATTATTTGTGTTTTAACTTAGCTGTCTGCATGGCGTTTCATAATACGCTATGCCACAATGATCCATGAAACCTCCTTCCACTAGCTCATCATAACATAGACCTTAACATAATATCAACATGATACCATGTGCCAAGAACTGTCCTGTTGTCATAGCAACACATGAAGAAAGGTAAAATTATATCCTGAAGAAAGGATCAGAAGAGTAATCCTTACAGCATACCTATAAATCTAAACCTTTATACATACTAAGTCTATATTTCCAGCAAAGAGGGCTGGTGTCATTATTGAGACTAGCATCAAGCTAGTCCAAGGATACCTTCAAATCAGTCCTAGTACACGTGATTAGAAGGCATATATGACAGACGGGGGAAGTGTTGGAAATATTGCGCAATGTAATGGGCGCAATATTCATTGAACGAAAGTAGAAGTTGACTAAAAGAGTGTCATGTTCGGATTGCAGCTAAAAATGTGGGAAGTGTGCGCTACAAGTACAAGTGTAAGCAACACATAGCCTAAGCCACAGCATAAACGAGTGTGGCGCCATCTAGGCATAGAAAACCCCCAATAACCTCCTTGCGCCCACGCCATACAGCCGCTCATATGTCCAATAGGTAGCCTGAAGCGCTACCATATTACCTACTCCAACCTCTTAAATACACACGAGATGTTGTCGGGAACCTAGACGAAATGGAGGGCCCATACGTCCACAACAATCCGTGTCTTCATTTCCAACAGGAAGTCCTCAAGTTGGCTTGAGATGCACAATCAATAGTTTGCAATTCTTCTAAGGAGTGAATATGTATGTACAAGAAGGGCTTATTTATACCTGTGCTCTTCTCCAATGCATGTCCCGCATCTATTCCTAAGAGCAGACAGGTGTACCTATGGGGAGTTTAGATTCCTGCAATGGTGTTAACTCCCGACGCTCGCCTTACCACTCGGCTACCTTTCAATCAGTTTTGCCGTGCTCGAGGCAACCCTCCCTGTAACTTTCCGAGTGCTTGCTAGCTGTCCGAGCAGTAGAGTGAGTTTTCCATTACCTGACGTCCCAGCAGATAGAAAGGGTGCCTGCGTTGGCCAGCGTAGGTTACAGGGTTTACTGTTGGTTCACCAGCCCTTACAGCATGCAATGTTTTGTTAGATTTCTGTATCTTGCCCACATTATATCTTATCTATCTTGTTTATATCTTGTCAAGTAAAAATAGTCTCCTTGTGCCAACACCATAGAGCTGCTCATGTATCCATTAGCTAGCCTAAAGCGCTACCCTATTACTAATTCCAAACTCTTAACTACATACAAAACTGTGTCAGGAACTTGGGCAAAAATGAAGGACCCATAAGTCCAAAACACTCTATCTCCATTTTCAACAAATAGATAGAAGGCTGAATACATATTACTTGATAAGAGTATATTGCTCCTGACACCAGATAATGTAACACTGCAAAATCGTGAATCATTTTTGTTGTAAGTCATTTGATAACTCTGCACTTGTATGAGATGCCTCGCTTGGTACTCCACACTTTCTGTAACTGTAAAATATATATCACATATTTTATAATAACAATAAATACACATAATCTTATTGGAAAGAAACTTATTTCGAGAGCCATTATCCACACCCAGCTGAATTAATGGCTGATATGAAGTATACTCTTAATTGCACACTTGCATTAATATTCCACAATTTTTAATCAGACCGAAACTTCCTCATCATTAATTAAGGATTGGTGTAAAATTATTACTTAACTCTATTTAACTGATGCCCATTAGGCATGGCTAGCTGGAAATTGAAATTGGAGAACAGTAAAATGAGTGATAAATTATTATGTGTCATAAGCTTCCATGAGGCAAGCCGGCTCCTGGAAATTGGATTAAGCTCATAATCCATCATTTTAGTTTTGGTCATAGTAATATCACTCCTAGTAGAAATAGCACGCCAATCTCACCTATAAAGTCATCCATTTCTCCCGCTTCCTTACCTTCAATTCACAAGAAACCAGCTTTATCTGAGTATCAATTTTAGTGAGGTTATATTTTATTCCACTACAACACGTTATATAGATAAGTTCTAAGCAGAACAACGAGTTAGTGGACAGAAAGAAAATCTATATTTATACTAAAATAATTCTAGGCTTAAACAGAATGAAGTTTCTACAACTTACTGGAATGACTGTGCTGTTAAGTCAGGCAATATCAATTTCTGCAGCTTTGCTAGTTCCAAGGTCCCCAAGTGGTCCATCTAAAATGAGCGACCCAATGTCAGACATCATAGCTTGCATCAATGAAATAAAATCAAGTGGTAGAAAACTAGAGTCTCCAGATAGTGAAAGCAGAAGACTTGCCAAAAGTTTACAAAAACCCTATGTAATTCCTATAAGAGTTCCATATATAGATAGCCAAAATGGTGAGTGAGAATTTAGAGCTTTTAAAGACCACTTGCTAATAAATTACACATAGTGTGGGTTAATAAGCTTGGTCAAAGCTCGACGGAGAGAGTATCCATCATGACGTCAAATATTATCACGTGTTCTAATGTTAACGATTACTCTTGTATAACTTATGTAGATGATGGAAGACGTAGAGGAACACATATACATTTTCGAATAACCAACCTGACATTTGTCGACCCTTGTGATATCACATTGTAAGACCTTCCAACACTGATCAGTGATTGTACAAGGCAATCACAGACTGGCAAGGAAGAAGAGACAGATCAATTCCTGAAGACCTCCCTGGCTTGACCATACTCTCGAGAAGGAATTTCTGTGCTACAGCCCTCAACGTTATTCAGACCTCCCTGGCTCGACCATACTCTCTGAAGACACGTAAGGAAGATCAAGGCTATAAATCAAGGCTTCTGATTCATTTCAAACTTTTGATTAAAGCCAAGATACGCGTCCTACCACGCAACTATCAGTTTTGTACAAATTATCTAATATAATGGCGAACGACACTCCCAAAGTCCCTGCAATTCCTACATGTACTCTAAATGATATCCTAACTGCAGGCACACTCAATATAAGCCCTGTTGCATGGCAGCAAATCGATCCGAGTCTCTGGTTTACCCCCGTCTCTGACAACCCGACTGAAGTTCATGTCACAACGTGGGTTGCACGGCAATTACAAGACTACACATATGGAAACTTGGTTGGAGATGATTTGTTCTATGCTTTTCAAGAGGACTTTGCAACCTGGACGGAAATGAATTTTGATAAGATAAATCAGCCATTTAAGAGAGAACTTAAGCTCCTCCTCCGCAAGCGAGGTATCTATACTGGCAAGAATAATGGTCCTATCGGACGACAACTTGCGAACTTGCTTAAAATAGAGTCATGCCCTGAATGGCCCGTGGATGAGCGTTGCCCAAACCCTCATGAAAGATTTGTCATATACAAACCGGAAGCAAAGCAAGAGGATACAAAAGTTTTGTTGCAAGGAACTTCTTTTCTTGATTCAAATGCCTCTCAACAGAAAGAAAAATTACAAGGATCAGTCACCTCGAACCTTTACAAAAATGAGCAACAACCTAGGCAATCACAAGCCGGAACGTCAACCATGTTACAGAATCCTTACATCACATTACCACCAGAACCAACTGTAAATGAAGATTTAGATCCCCATGTGCTAACCCAATTCGCTAAGCTATGGGATAAAGGAAAAATGTATTCAGGCGAGCCGTATGATATACTTGATGACAAGCTTCGAATTTTCCTGAACATTTGTAAATTTTTGAAAATCCGACCCGGTCAATTCCACGCAGCATTTCCAAGGATTTTAAAAGGTCGGGCTGAAACGTACTACCTTCATTACATCGGCCCGGAAGCGAACTTTGCGTTGGCCTATATGAAACTTAAGGCGCATTTCGATACAGAAATCAACCATAATACGTACTACACAGACTGGACTACAACAACTTTTCATAAAGTTCGCCAAGAAAATAGTGAAAAGTCTTTACAAGAAGTACTCCAGATATTAATTGACAAGCTTGAACTTTGCCAACGCGCCCTTGGTCCGAACTATATTGGAGAAGAAGTGCTACGTACCGCCGTCATTATGGCATGTCGTGGTGTTCCTGAACTTAAGAACGCCTTATTCAAACCAGCAAAATACTGTGAAGAACTTTACTCGGACCTGCGATCATCAATCGAGACCTCTTTGAACGATGTCCCTCCACGCCAATTTATGACCGATAATCAGGAGGATAACGACCAATACTATCTTGACCGACGCTATAACAACAATCGGCAAGGGATGTATAAGAAAAATAACCGAGGGAACTATGATCAGGATGATTCCCGGCGGAGCAAATTCAGACAGGAAAACCTTGACTGTAATACGAGAAGTAATCCCACCTGGAAAAAGAAATGTTTTATTTGTGGTAAAGAGGGGTGTTGGTCTACAAAACATCCAAATGATGAACGTCGTCGAGCACGAACTCGTTACCTCGCCCATTGTCATTATACAGGCGACATTTCAAACGACTTCGCAACTTACCTTGTCGGCTACGAAGGGCACGAAATGGCTGTTCAACAAGATGAAACCCCCAATGACTTTGAAGATGAAACTTATGCAGCCGAAACAGCAAACTATCTAATGAATCAAGCATATCTTCACCAACTTACAGGAACTAATGTCTTTAAAGAGCAAATAGACGCCCCGGCCAACCAGTTTTTTATTGAAGACCGTTACTCAAGAACTGTTTTCCAAGGTATTCTACCTGATACTGGCGCTGCCCAGGTTTCAACGGCAGGATTAGAGCAATACCTCGCACTGCAGCGAGTTGAATCATCTGTGCAACTTGACAAATCAACAGCTGGCCGAGCATCAGTCTGTTTTGGCAAAGGATCAATAGTCAACTCAATTGGCTCTACAGTGGTTAGGACACCAATCGGAGAAATAACTTTCCATGTTCTCGATACTCCAACACCATTCTTGTTATGTCTCGCCGACATGGACCGAATGGGTGTATATTTTAATAACATCACGGACGAGATCATCAGAGGAAACACCCGAATCCCGGTAATCCGAAAATGGGGACACCCCTGGTTTTTCCTCAACAGACTCGAAAGAGGTGCAGCGTTTCTTACTGAGATTGAACTTCGTCGATTACACCGCCGGTTTGGCCATCCATCTACGGATCGTCTTTGTCGTTTGTTAAGGAAAGCCGGACATGATGATGTGAACGAAAAATCGCTTGAGACCATAACCAAATTTTGTCACCAGTGTCAAATGCATAGTCCAGCTCCGAGACGATTCAAATTTACCCTGAAAGATGACCGCGAATTCAACCATGAGATCTTTGTTGACGTACTGTATATCATCGAGCGCCATGTGTTGCACGTTATTGACTCAGCAACTTCGTTTCAAGGTGCCCGATTCCTCAAATCTTTATCAAGCAAAGAAACGTGGGAGACACTCCGTATGTTATGGATTGATACATACCAAGGTCCTCCCGATATCATCACAAATGATGCCGGTACCAACTTTGCTTCTTCAGAGTTTAGGAATGAGGCCAAGATCCTTGGGATCACATGTAAACAGGTACCAACCGAGGCTCATTGGTCAATAGGAAAGATAGAACGATACCACGCTCCTCTTCGCCGTGTTTTCGAGATCCTACATGCTGAGCTATATAGTACTACAAGTCCAGAAGCAATACTACAAATGGCAATCAAGGCGATTAACGATACGGCTGGACCAGATGGTCTTGTGCCAACACTTTTGGTTTTTGGCGCATATCCTCGGATGACCGTAGATTCACCACCATCCCCATCAACCTTGAGGCGAACCGAAGCAGTTCAGAAAGCCATGAAAGCCTTGCGGAAACTCAACGCCGACCGACAGATAAACGACGCTCTGAATACTAGAAACGGACCTTCAACTCACGAGATTCTTTCATTGCCTCTACAAAGTGAAGTACGCGTTTGGCGTGAGAAAGATGGCTGGCAAGGTCCCTACAAGATTATCGCGACCAACGGCCATGATGTAACTCTTGACATGGTGAATGGCCCAACAACCTTTAGATCTACTATGGTTCAACCATACTACCGGAACTCCGGTGAACGTGAAAACTTAGAACCTCAAAATCATCTCGAAGATCAATCCACTAATGATTTTCAGCCTGAAATTCCGATTATGAAGCCTCAGCCACGCAAAAGAGGTCGTCCCTTGGGCTCAATGAACAAGTCGAAGAATGTAAGTGCGGCATACTTGACTAAAAAGGAGGAAGATGACTATGCTCTAGCTATCAAGTTGAGAAACGATGGTGTAATCACGTCACCTGAACCTCCCTTCGAAGAGTCGGATTCAAATGAGATAAATGATCTAATCAGTCGTGGTGTATTCAAATTTGAACTGTTTAATAGCAAGATCCATGGAAACCACCGAATTTTTAAATCACGAATGGTACGTGAGGTTAAAGGCAAAACAACCAAGCCCTATGAAAAGTCTCGCTTGGTAATACAAGGGTACAACAATCAAGCTAAAAGTACCATCCTGACGCAATCACCAACCATCCAGCGAATGAGCCAACGTTTGATCCTTGCTCTCGCCCCCTCATTAATGATGAAAGGAATGATCATCGCAATCAGGGATATCACACAGGCTTACCCTCAATCACATACCAATCTCTCCCGTGTCGTCTTAGCAAGCTTGCCCTCGGAACTTAAAACAAAGTACCCTGAAGGAACTATTATTTGTGTAATTAAGCCTCTGTATGGAATTGCAGAAGCAGGTGTTCACTGGCTCTCTACTTACCAAGGTCACCATAGGAAACTGCTAGACATGTCCACTTCGACATTTGATGAATGTTTTCTCATTACAAATGGAGAAATAGATAAATTTGGTATTGTGGGAATACAGACAGATGATACCCTCATGTTATGCACCAAATCTTTTTCTGCAACAGAGGAGGAGAAACTTACTGAAGCTCAATTCCGAGCAAAACCTAAGGTGATTCTATCGGCCGAAACACCTTTAGAATTCAATGGAGCAAGAATTATCTTTGAAAATGACGCAATTATCGAAATCAGAGGTATATTGAGCAACGTGCCCGAGGAGCGTATATTGCCTCCATATGTCAGCCCGAGGCAGCTTTCGATATGTCGGTAGCAGCACAAGCCAAAGATCCGGACGAAGTGGAATACACTGCTTTAAACCGGCGACTCAAATGGCAAATAAAGAACATACAGCGTGGATTACGTTTCGTTCCAATTAACTTGGCCACGGCTAAGATAATGGTCTTTACGGATGGATCATTTGCTAATAATAAGGACCTCAGCTCACAACTTGGATTTGTATTGATACTTGCTAATGAGGATCAAATCGGATCTAAGACCAAGGTTCGAGGTAACCTTATTCACTGGAGTTCGACAAAGTGTAAACGAGTCACCCGCAGTGTGCTAGCCTCTGAA